CCGGGCTGCCAGAGGATGTCTGACTGCCAGCTTAGGCCCGATCCCCTGGGGAGCGGGCCTAAGCCAGCAGGTGGACATCCCCTAAGGGGTCCCAGACTTTGAGAGGGCACAGGCCAGGCTGAGGGACTGCTTCCCCCCCCTGAGTGCACAAATTTTTGTGCACCGGGGCCTCTAGTGAAATATAATAGTATATACCATTTCTGGAATGCCATCTCTTTTTAGTCTTCACAGCAAGCCTATGGGATAAGTAATCTCTCCATCTGATAGCTGATTGAAACTGACTGAGCCTCAGAAAAGTAAAGAAGATTTGGTCAGTGTCACTCAGATCCCAAGGGTGGAAGTAGAAATTAAAATCTAGATTTGATTGGCCCCAGAAGACTGCTCGCTCTTTTGCCCTGGGCTGTGAAAAATGTACTTTGATTTGAATAGGAAAAAGGATCAATGTTTTACAATTGATCATACGATTGATCAAAAATGCTTTTTGCCAGCTTCTCAAACCCTTTGCTCTGAGATTTCAAAGTTACAGAATAGTGATAGAAAACTAATTATTTCTCTTGGACCTTTGATATGTGCTGTGTTCAAACTGAACTTATAAGAACAAGTTATCTTTTTTCTTCAAAATAAATCTATATTGTTTTTTCTTATTTCTTTTAATCTATATTGTGTTTAAACTCCTTTTCCTTTCCAGGAAAGCCTCTGACACTTTTTTGATTTGTTTTCTTTTAGCCAGATCTTAGAGCCCATGCTTTCTTATTAAAAATCAACAGACTTTATTTTTTTTAGAGCAGTTTATATTTATAGAAAAGTTCATCAGAAAGTAGAGAGGGCTCCCTTATATCCCCTCTCCCTGCCCCCACCCCCCGCAATTTATCCTATTGTTAACATGTTGCATTTGTGTGGTATATTTCTTATAACTGATGAATAAATATTGTTATATTATTATGATTAACTAAAGTCTATAGTTTATATTAGGTTTCACTCTTTGTGCTGTACAGCTCTATGGGTTTTAGAAAATAAATGTATAATGTCATGCATCACCATTACAATAGCATACAGAATAGTTTTGCTGAAGCCCACACTTAAAATTTTTGCTTTCAATTACAGTTTATATTCAATATTATTTTGTGTCAGTTTCAGGTATACAGCATAGTGGTTGAACAATCATACACTTTACAAAGTGTTCCCCTGATATTTCCAGTACCACCTGGCCCCAAATGTAGTTATTACAATACTATTGACTATGTTAGGCCAGTGGTCGGCAAACTGTAGCTCGCGAGCCACATGCGGCTCTTTGGCCCCTTGAGTGTGGCTCTTCCACAAAATACCACGTGCAGGCGCGCATGTACAGTGCGATCGAAACTTCGTGGCCCATGCGCAGAAGTTGGTATTTTGTGGAAGAGCCACACTCAAGGGGCCAAAGAGCCACATGTGGCTCGTGAGCCACAGTTTGCTGACCACTGCCCTAGGCTGTACTTTACATCCCCATGGCTATTTTGTAACTACCAATCTGTACTGATTAATCCATTCATCTTTTTCATCTAGGCCCAAACTCCTGATGACTTTCTCCAGTTGTAGAGACCTTTGCCAACTTTGAGTCATATTAAATTCTCTCCTTCCACCACCACTGTGTTTTTCCACGTGTTTTTTCTGTTACTATGTCCCACCCTTTCTAAACTGGTACTCATTGTGTGTGTCTAAGTTAATACCATTTTGTATATGACTAAATCCCTCTTGTCCTCCAGGTCTGAATTCAAAGACCATCTTCTCAGACGTACCTTCTCTGTCTGCATAATCTAGGAAGGTCCTATTTTGTCTTCTTTATCGAAGTATACTGATTCCTTTATAGCCCTTATCGTAATTGGGGACTCATTTAAAAATGTATGTGCTTAATTGATTTCCTTCTCTCTGGCTAGGCTGTAAGTCCTGGAGGGCAGGGGCTGTGTCAGGTTAGCTCAGTTCTGTATATAGCACAGCACTGAGCACATAGTATTTGCTCAGTAAATATTTACTAATGTGTGGCAGGACAGTTTTGCTTTTGCTTTCCTTTCTCCCCACCTCTGAGGCTCCAGCAATAAGGCACTTGACCAAGGAAATAGCAACTTAACTCATGGAAGAGTAAAGAGACCAAGACTCACTTGGCATAGTAACATTTGAAGTCATGCTAAAAAACCATCACTCTTAGCATTGGGGAAGTTCTGATGGTTTTGTAGGTGCTTGGCCATGAAGCCAGATAGGGATGGGAACTTTCCTTTAACTTCTCTTCCTCCTGTGGAGATTCCAAATCCAGTTCTTCCTCCTTCAGGGAAAAAAACCAATGGAAGCTAAATGGCTATAGGATTGGCTAGAAGAAGAGGAGGAAGAGGTGGGTGGGGATCAGAGGTAGAGTTGGATCTGAGAACATTTTCAAGGTAAGGAATTTTTGTCCTTGCCCCAAATGCCAATTGACATCAGACAGTGCCTCCCCATCATACATGGCCCTTTGTTTGAGCCCCCACCCCCAAAACCTCAACCGGAAAAGCAAGAAAAGAATTGGAGTGATCTTTAAAAAAATCACATCAAGAGCTATACACACATCAAAGATAATGGGGATGGGTGGCCCTTTCCCCACCTTGTCCTTAGGGAAGGCAGACTTCACCAGGTTTTCTTGGAGGCGGAACAATCCCTTTTTTGTGCAG